AAATAAGAAACTCCGCTCTTCAGCAATTAACGCCGGCGCTGTGGTTACGCTGCTAAAAGTGTTTTTTCCGTGCATGACCAAGGATGGAAAAAGTTGTGGTTAATAAATGACAAATAACCTTTGTCTCATCGCCCTCCACCCCTCCCTCCCCCCCCTGCGCACCCTCACTCCGCGATACCCAAAAACAGAGAGGGGGGAAAAAATAGAGCAAAAGTCACCACCAAAATCTCACAAAGCCCCAGCCCTGGGCGCCTTCGAAGAACAGCGAGCGGAAAGCGGAGCACGAGGGACGCACCACCCGCCCTGCTCTCAGTGAAAGTCTGTGCGTGGGTTTCGGTGCAGCTCCAGACACCTTCCGGGGAGGTTTGGCCTCTCCCAAGGGAATTTCAGGGCACCCAAACCCCTCTGGCTCATACACCATGGCAAATTTCCCTGAGGATGCCGGGAGAGGGACGTGGAACTTGGTAGAGGCCATGAGAGGGATGTGGTCCTTGGGGTTGCTGGGAGAGCGATGTGGTCCCTGAGGATGCCGGGAGAGGGATCATAGAATCACAGAGTCCTAGAAGAATTTGGGTTGGAAGGGACCTTTAAAGGCCATCCAGTCCAATCTCTCTGCAATGAGCAGGGACAGCAACCAGATCAGGTTGGAGATGCCAGGAGGGGGATGCAGTCCCTGGGAATGCCAGGAGAGTGATGTTCAGAGAGGGATCATAGAATCACAGAACAGTTTGGGTTGGAAAGGATCTTTAAAGGTCTAATGGGATATCTTTAACTGGCTCAGGATGCAGCCCCTGGAGATGCCAGGAGATGAATGCCATGAGAGAGACGCAGCATGGTAGAAGAAGGATACCAGGAGAGGAATGCAAACCCTGGGGATGCAGGGAGAAGAATGCCAGAAGGGGGATGCAATCCTTGAGGATGCAGGGGGAAGGATTCCAGGAGAGGGATGTGGTCTCTGGAAATGCCAGGAGAAGGATCCCAGGAGAGGGATGAGGCTCCTGGAGATTCCAACTGACACTAACATGCTCTTCCCTGGACCAGAGATGCAATGATGGGACAATGAGATGCTTCCCATCACTGACAAAACCCTTCTCATGGTGTCCCAGGGAGGAAAGCTCCCCTTTCACCACTGCCTCTCCATAAATCCTCATCTGAGTCACCTGAGGCCACACCTGAGCAGCTCCAATTACTCTTGGAGACACAAAGCAGCTCCAGGAGGAGCTGGGATGGGGATGGAGACCACAACATTGAGATGTCCCCCATGCTGTGGTGGAACAGCTGCCACCCAGAGCTGCAAGCACCAAAAATCGGGTGCAGGACCTGCTGGCTCAGGAGGTGGCAGTTCTGAGAAACCAGATTCAGGTGAAAGGGGAAAAAAAGAAAGAAAAAAAAAAGAGAAAAAAAAAAGAGAAAAAAAGGAAGTCAGAGCAGTCTCACACTGAGCAGAGATAAAAATACTGCTCCTCCCGCAGCCACGGCAATGACGGACGAGCCGAGACACTGTGGGCTTTCACCGGAAAGAGTCTTCCCAGCTCATCCCAGCGTGCCATCAATTTATGGGATGTACTGGATCTCATTAAAACACCATAAAGAAACCAGCACAAATGCAAATCCCATTTCCCTTCCCCTTCCTGTAAAAACATCTGGTCAACAGAAACGGCCTGGGACATTTCCGTTGCGAATCACGGTTTTCATGGAGCTTGGGATTTGGCCATGTACAAGGTATTTGGGGCTGGGGCTCAGCTGAGGAATAGGGCAGTCCCAAAACACACAAATCTGGCTTTTGCCTTGGCTTTAATTTATGAAGGTGGAGAGACTTCAGAGATGCCCAGCTCTACGAGTTATATAGGAATAAATGGTATGGGAGAGGAGAAAGCCCATAGTGCCTCCAAGGAAAGCAGGGAGGACTGGTGAGCATCACCCTTGTACCAGACATCAGAGAATCCACCAGAGCTGCACACCCAGGACCATTCCCAGGTGTTCCCTTGTTGGAAAACATGTGCACATGTATATATATACACTCATATATACAAGCACTACAGATATTCCAATGTTCCTCTGCTCCAGGTGCTCTTCCAGAGCATCATCACCTCACCCTGGCCTCCTCACATCCCAGAACCCTCCGGAATGTCCCCAGGGTGGGGATCCAGGTGCCACCCACACTATGCCCACTGCAAGAGAGCCACTCCCAGGAGAGCTCCAGATCCAATCATCTCCAAACCCCATCTTCACAACATCATTTTTCCAGTGCTCCAGGGAGGAAAGAGCGATGTCAAAACAACCCAGACGTGGCTGTGAGCACGGGAAGGTGAGCTGCTCCTTATCCCAAAATCCTCATCTCCTCTGGCACATGCCTGGGGAAGGGAATGACCCCTTCACCCAGCACAGCCACCCAAGCAGCAAATGGGATCAGGGCTCTTCAAAGTCCCCGCTCCCTTTGATGCTGGGTAAGTTATGGGATTAGGCTCAGAGGCCCCATTGGAGCATCGGGAGAAAGGGGAAAAAAAAAAAGATAAAAGCTGCCAAAAGCAGCACAACCCCCCTTTCCCCACACACCTGCCTTTTCCAAGGTCATTTCAAGGGGCTGGGTATTTGGGGGCTTGGCTTGATGCTGTAAAGCCCTGAGGCCAAGCTGAATTTCCAGCTACATCCTGTTATTTACAGGGGAGGAAGGGAAAAGAAAGAAGAGGAAGGGGGAATAAAGAGGAGGTTTGGGGAAAGAAAGAGGAGGATGGGGGAAGGGTGCTTCCAAGGAGACCCTGAGGGTGACCAACCTCTCAGTCCAGAGATCAGTCAGGGCTGAAAACGCCCCAAGAACTGGTTTTATAGTTGCTAATTTAAACTCATAGGTTTTCCATTTCCATGATGATCAACAGCATCCTCAAATCAGGAACAGATCCATGAGATGGGCAAAAGGCCTGGGAGCATCCCAGGGCAGGAGGATGGAGAGGAGGGGGCTGTTGGTTGTTATTCAGTTATTTTTAAGGAAAATAACCCCCTGACAAGCTGTTCTGTTCCCACTGCTCCGTGGTTTGCCCCTGTGCTGAGTTTCGGGAGTGGAAGCCACCAGCACCGTGGGTGATTTTCCACCACCCCCGGAATCCAACCGCAGTTACTGGGAAAGGGTCTGGACTGATTGTGCTGTAAAGGAGACAGGAGCTGGCCCTGGCCCAGTGAATTGGAAAGGAAGGAGCCGCCCTGAGAATATTTGCACAGGAAGCAATTTAATCCAGAGGCTTGCAAAATCCAGCGAGGAACATCCTCCACTTCCGCAGCCCTGGCTGAGAAACCACCACTTGGGGCTCTGGGGTAGAGCAGAGGCTCTGGGCTCACGGTGGTGGGGAGCACCAGGAAATCCCCATCCCACGGGGATTGCAAGAAATAATGGTGCAGAGTACTGGGGGAACTTGGTAAATGTCTTGTTTTAAATGTCTCCCATTCCTGGGTCAAAGCTGGTCAGGGATGTGGGGAGAGGAAGAATGTGCTTGGCTTGCTTCCCAAGGGGGAGGGAAAGAAATACAGAAAAAAGAGGGAAGGGAAAAAAAACAGGGGAAAGGAAAAAAAGAAAAAGGGGAAAGAAAAAAAGAAAAGGGGGAAAGGAAAAAAGAATGGGGGAATTAAAAAGAAGAGGAGGAAAGAAAAAAGAAAACGGAGGAAAGGGGAAAAAGAAAAAAAATAGGGAAACAAAAAAAAGGGAGGGAGAAAATAGAAAGGTGGAAAAGAAAGAAAAAAGGGAAAGAAAGAGGAAAAAGAGGAGTAAAAGAGGATGAAAAGGGGGAAAAAGGGAGGAGGAAGGGAAAAAAGGAAGTGCTGCCCAGCTGCTGGGAGTACCCTCAAAGTGCCCCAAAACAACGCTGACCTCCCTGTGCCCCAGGACTGGGACATGCTCCCACAGGGAAAACAACTGCAACCCCTGACACGGCAGAGCAAAACCAGCTTTTACTTTCAGATGTTACAATTTTGATGTTTCTTTTTTCAAATATTTAATATTGGAGCCGTTTGACGGAAATAGCAGGAATTCAGCCAGCTGCTCTCTGACCCTTCTGCCTTGAAGGCAGGGATGAGGCTCCAGCTCTACCAGAGGTTTCCTCCTTCTAAAGCACAAGTTTGTCATCAAAGTTAAACGAGCACAAAAAAAAAAAAAAAAGGAAAAAGAAAAGAGAAAATTCATTCCATCACGCCTGCGTAAGACCTGCCATGTGGAGGAACCGTCTTTTTAAAGATTAAACACCCCAGCTCCCCCCACATCGCTCCCCACTCCCTCACATCCTGCATCATCTCCGCTCCAGCCAAGTCCAAGCACCATGGGAGCTCCCTGGGGTAGCCGAGAGCTGAACTTCCAGTCAAAAGACTACTTACAAAAAGTAAAATTAAACTCCCTTACAAGTCCCAGTGGGATCAGAGAAAGGCACAGAGCCTAATTCCTATTTTCCCTTTCCTTTCCCAGCTTGCCCAGGCAAGCAGATGCTCAGGCTGCTGAAGCCACAGCACAGCAGGGACACAGTGAACTTGGGTTCACCGGACTGGGTGACCCCTCACCTTGCTGGGACGGGTCCATGTGGCTGGGCATGAGTGGGATGGAGGCCACCAGCCTCTATCCTCAGCTTGGAAGGCAGGTGCTCTGCTTGTAGCTGGAAAATCCAGGTCTGGGGTCCCAAAATGGAGAAATGCAATGACATACTGGCCAACTGCATTAATTAGTGCACACATCACCCTTGGCACTGGGCCACCCCCAAAAACACCACCACAGAGGGATCTGCTCTCCTCAAAGGTATTAATTTGACAGGGTGCAGCCTCTTGTGGCTGCAGCAGAGCAAGAGCAGTGGCAGAGCAAACCCATCCTGGTCCCACCACCACTCACGGTGAGAAACCCTCATGACGAGGGACACACCACAGCCTCGCTCCTTCCCGTGGGACACACTGGCACCTGAGCATCGTCCCCAGCTGTGGGACTCACAGCATCACACAGCTGGCACGGGCAAGAGCCGGTATGTCCTTACCTTGGGCGGGTCATAGAGCTCCAGCACAAAGTCCTCGGCATCGGGCGGCCCCGCTCGCCGCAGCACCAGGCGGCAGCGCTGCCATCGCGTCCCGCTGTCCAGGGAGCTCTCGTCCAGCAGCCCATACTTGAGGAGTCCCTCCTTGCGCACCTCGGGGGGCTGCTCCCGCGACAGCCCCCACGGCAGGATGCGCTTGCCCAGTCCTGGCTTGAGAGCCGCCTCCACTGCCTCCCCATCGCCATCCCCAGGGAGGGCATCTGAGGAGCGGCGTCGGAAGAGGCTGCGCCAGCTCCTGCGCAGCTGGCTGAGCGAGAAGGGCCTCCGCGCCGGCCCCGCCAGCTCCTCTGAGCTCCAAGACTTGCGCAGTCCGGATGGGGCAGCCTCGGGGGCTCGAGCGGGCTGCTCGGGGCGGGTGCCAGGCTCCACCTCGGCTTTGGTGGCCACGGTGCCCAAGGAAGCATCAGTGTGCCGCCGGTGCGTGTCCCGGTAATCCCGCGCTGGGCCGCCGGGCAGGATGCAGAGCTGGTTCATGGCGATGCCCTCCTTCACCTCGTGGCAGAAGTACTGCTGGAAGAGGTCAGTGAACTGCACCGAGAAGTTCTCGGCGGCCAGGAGGTCATGGTGTGGGTGCTCGGTGGCGAAGCGCAGGTAGTGCCGCGCCAGCTCCTTGGCGGTGCTGATGGCGTGCAGCTCGCAGAACTCATGCCAGCCCCGGGGATGCGCTGGCGTGCCGGCTGGCAGCGCCTGCCCATTCATTGCCGTGGTTCCAGCGAGGTGGCTGCACTGCAAGACAGAGCACAGGGGTGGTCAGGACAGCCCCAGTGTCCCCAAGTCTCCCCCAGTCCTGGTAGCCCCTGGCTGGTGTGGCCACACCCCACTCTGGATGCATGTCCGCAGCCTGGGACATGCTGTGGGTCCAGCCAAAGCTGCTTCACTCGCCTGGGACACACTGGAAGTGGCCCAGGGACAGCCAGCTCCCCAGAGAGCAGCATGGCCATGGGAGCAACCACTAAGGCTCAGCCCCTGACACCACCAGGGGCCATGCAGGACCCCAAGCCCCCATCCCCAAGTGACCAGGCCGTGCCTCAGTTTCCCCCACCTGTGAGGTGGGGTGCGGGCAGGTCCCGGTGCGGGGTGTCTGCGTGGCTTCCTGCCAGCACAGCTGCTGGCAGCTGCCCGCCCGCGGGGACGCCTGGCCTGGCCACATCCGCTCTGCTCCTGCCAAGGCTCCACAGCGCCGATGGGTTTCCCTCCAGGGACCTATTTCAACAGAGCTGATAAAACTGGAGTGGGGGTGGGAGGGGAGGAAACAACATGAAAAGTTGCAGAAATCCAGCGACGGAGCTGCCTCGCTGCCGGATCCTGCAGGCCCCAGCGGCCTGGGGAGACACGGCCACACCGTCAGCACTGCCCGGGGTGAGCGAGCGTTCCCAGGGGGATGCTCTGCTGCCTGTGGGATCAAGGAGCTGCCAGGCTCTGGCAAACCACACCATATCTCTGCCCGCAGCAGATTTCGCTGTGAGGCCAATCTGACGGCACCATGGCTGGCATGCAGCCGCCCTGGCGTGCCCGACTGAGCCCGGCAGTGGCATTCCCCACGGCCAGCCCCGCTGCTTACCACCCAACCTCGTGCTCGCCCGTGGCACTTATCGGGGCCGTGCACTCCACTCAGGCAGGAAATATCGGTCAACCCACCCGGATTCTGCCGTGCCGGCACTGGCACCATCGCCTCTTCGAAACTCCAGCAGCAGCACCCTGGCTGCTGGGAGGAGAGGAAAAGTGATTGCATTTGTCAGGGGGAGGAAAAATGGAAAAAAAACCAAAAAACCTGAAGGGCCAGGAGGAAGCGAGCGGGTGCTGAGGAACCTGCCGGCACAGGGGATGGTGTCTGCAGCCGGGGGCAGTGATAACGCTGGGAAGCAGGGCTCTATCTCTGCCCACCCGTTGCCCTCCCGAGCACGTCTCATGAAGGTTCTCAGCGAGGGGAGATGTTATCAGCCCCCCGCCAGCCTCGCCGGGGCCCGGCTTCTCAGAAGAGCCACCCAAGGCTCGGGGCCGGCCGGCGTTCCGGCAGTGCCGGGCATGCGCCCACCACAGCCCAGCCAAATCCCCCGGCAGGGCCCCGTCTATCAGCACCGCCAGCCTGACGATGACTCAGCATCCTCTGCCGTGCTCCCGCTTCCTCCCGGCACCCAGGAATCGCCGCCACAGCCACCCACGCCGCCAGCACGCTCAGCGGGATGCTCCCACAAAACGCAGAGGGAAGCGAAGCGCCCACGCGGATGGCTCCTCAGGCAGGTGGGAGATTCCCAGGACAGGGAATTCGCCTTCCAAGTTTTCAAGGTTGCTTCACACCAGCTTTGGGAGAGGTTTGCGGTGCGGGAAAAGCCGAGCTTCGCCTGTGCCACACGCTTGTGCCACACGGTGGGAAGCAGCCGAAGGCCGTCCCCGGTAGCAACGTGCTTTTCCAACCCGACGACAGGAAATGCTTCCCAGTGCTTCCTCCTCCCAGTACTGGCACAATGCTGACCTCACTGCTCCTGCCCGGTGCACATCCCACATGGAAACAGCTATCCCGGATAAATCCATGCTTGAATTACCACAGCAGCATCCCGATCCTCCGCTCGGCCCCAGGTTTTGGCAGGACATGTCACAGGGATATGAGTGCCCGTTGATGGGTGGGTTTCTCCCTGCTCCAGCCTGTCGTGCTCCACAGTGTCAGAATCCAGCAGCCAGTGGCTTGAAAGCATATTTTCCATCCATATCCCTTATTCCCTCTATGATGCTACAAGGGGTTTCTGTCCACTCTGTGGATCAGCACTGAGATGAAGGACTTGTCACAACAATTAATTGCTTTAATTTGCTCCGAGTGGAAGAATCCAGCCCACCGTCAGACACACAGCGGGCTGGATGGGATGGGGGGCTACCATCGCCCCTGGATGCTGGAAGAGCCTTACATCACCCAGCCCGCCCCATTTCGGGGCTGTTTGTGGGTGCTGGGGTTGTTTTGGGTGTTGGGGTTGTTTCGGGGTGCTGGGCTAGGAGCTCGAGGAAGAGCAGGATGGGACAGACCAGCCGCAGTTGGCTTTGATGCGGGTGGGGCGGCGAGCCGGGGCTTGCGCAGGATCCAGCCCAGCCACCCCCGGGAGCTTTTCTTAAACGCTTGCCCAACCTGAGCGTTGCTGCGGCGGCAGGGCAAGGATGGGAATCCACGGCTGGATCCAGCAATGGGTTATTTGTCCCAGTAAATGCATTTGTTGTTTACTTGCAGCCAGAGGAGCCGGCAGCACCGAGCGGTGCCAGGGCAGCGCCAGGAGCCAGTGCCGCAATCCTGTCACCCGCTCCCGGAGGATGAGCATTTGGAGCCAGCTGGCCAGCCTTGCCATGGAGGGGCTGCCGGATCCGGCCAGCCACCTTCCCACTGGGGGCTGCAGCCATGGGGGAAGGGCATCCTCCAGCACCCAGAGCTGCAGATCCGGCCTCGAAGGGATGTGTGATGGAGTAGGGCCCATGTGGCCGTGCCCTGCTCCAAGCGCTGCTCCCGCACGTGTGCGCGGGCGGCCCCGGAGCGTGTGCAGCGCAGTCAGCGCTGCGATCCGAAAATGAAACCGGCCCCACTCGCCGCCACTCTCCATGCCAGGAAAATGCACGCCGGCAACAAGAATAGGAAATCAGATTGATGTGCCGGTTCTCCCAGAAATAACTGTTCCCAGCCGGAGGAGAAGCAGCCGGCAGCATTTTCAGCTCCCTTTATAAGCACAAGACTATTCAAAGCTCACCCCAAGGACTATTTTGAGGAGAGGGTGAAGTGAGGGGCTGGGAGACGCCCTGGACGCCCCTGCAGCTCCCCGCTCCCCAAGTGGCAGAAAGACAAAGTTCCCACAATCCCAAGAGCGAGGACATTGTTCCTTCCCAGGATGTCCTCCATGAAAAGAGCTATTCTGAGCCGGCTGCAGCCTTTCTTGGCACAGCCCCGCAGCCCACTCTGAGGCAGCTATAAAAGGCTGGGTCACAATGAACGGCGCTTTTCAATGGAAAAGCATCCGGCATGGGGGGTTCAGGGGGATGCAGGTCCCTGGGGGGACTCAGGTCCCTAGCAGATCCAGGCAGCCAAAGGTGGGTTTGCAAGGGCTGGATGGTGCAGAGTATTCCCCTGGGATGGGGACAGTACAGCCCCTCTATGCATCCCAATCCCCCGAGACCAGAGTGGAGGATGCTGGAGGAATATCTGGATGCACCCCTGAGTTGAGGGGGACCAATGGCACTACAGCCATTTGGGAGTGGGCATGGAGATGCTGCCACTCAGCAAGGCAGGAGGACTTGGTGCAGGGGGAGAGGTGGGAAAGGGTTCGGCTGCAGCCTCCGGATATGGGATACACCCACACATATACAGCATCACTGTAAAATAGCCAAGGCCATTTGTGCTTCAGGCCAATACGATCCACAGCAGAAACTGCCTGGCAATGTCCTGCTCTTCCCTCTGGGGCAGCCCCCCATGGTGGTGGGGATTCTCTGGGGTCTCGTAGAAGGTGATGGCACAGGACTATCACTCCCTGCGACCTGCTGGCTGTTTCCACACAGGGATCCCTGGAGGATCCCAGGGAGTCTTGGGACCTTCCCTCTCCTTTGGCTGAACCAAACCAGCAAGTTAAAAAGCAACAAAGGAGTAGATTGGTGAGGTCCCCCAGTCCACAGGTCCATACAGGCTGTTTTCTTAGGAAATCAGGTTAAAAGACAGTTTGGGAGGTTGGGGGTTTTGGTCTCCTTTTCCCCCTTTCTCACAGGACATTCACACCCCTCTCATCTGACCTCCTGGCACCACACAACTTTCTACACTAAAGGCCAAAACTGGCCTTAATCTACAGCTCTGCGTGGGCTGAGCAGCACTACAGATCTCTGGGGATGAGTGATGTTATGGCACTTTAAAATTGGAGGGAAATCACCCCTTTGGCTTCCCCTGATCACTCCAACAGGATAGATGGGATGGAGACAGCCCATCCCAAACCCGTCTCAGGTCAAATACAAGCTCCACACTGTCTTGGCCCATGGGAGCTAACCAGGACAAGCCACTGTGGTCAGCCCAGCTCCCCAGAAACCCCGTGCCTGCTTCCGCTGAGCGCCCATCCCCATCCCCGTGGCGTCTGGCACCTCGCAGCCTGGTTTACACCGTCACACTCTCCTACACCCACCGCCTGCGGGGGAAAGCCCGGCAGCAGCGGGGTGGCCTCTTTTGACAGGGCTTGTTTTGTTGCATGAAACGAGTCGCTGTGGTGTAGGCGTGGGAGAAACCGGGTGCAGGGAGCACTCCTGGGGGAGTGGTCGGTTGAGGGTCCCTGAGGACAGCAGGGAGCAGCTCAGCTCCCAGCCAGCCTGGCTCTCCTGGCTCGGCACAGCAGTGCCCGAGGGCTGGATTGGGCCATCTCTCCTTGCCAAGCCACGGCAGCGCTGCCAGCACCACAAACCCTGCCAGCGCCGAGCTCTTGCACTTTCACTTTGTGTCACCCGCTGGGATTTGTCCTGACACCTTCAGTGTCCGCCAGTCCCATGGGTGTGTGGGTGGGGAGGATTTGCTCTGGGGGAGGATGGAAGATCCCTCAAAAGCCACTGGCACTTGCACCCCAATCTTTCCATTGCGATACAGGGGGCTGGCAGACCCTCTTCCTCATAGGTTCTGGTGAAACCAAACCAGATCTTTCCACAGACAACACATTCATAAAGGTAACAGAGACTATAAAAGCTGTGTTGGGGAGGGGGGAATGCACAGGGATGAGGCTCTCCTGCCCCAAAAACAAGTTTAAAAGAAATCCAAAACATTGTTCCAGCCCCAAACAAGTCAAAGTGAAACCTGCCACTAATTCCATGGGCCTTTAAACTCCAATCCCATATCCTGCCAGCAAATCCAAATGCAGAGGGGACATGCAGGAGCTGCCAGTGCCAGGTCCCTGCGCCGGCCACCTCTTCCTCTGGCTGCAGCCCCAAAAAGTCCCTGGGCCACCACCAGCTCACAACTCCAGCACATCTTGAATCAATTCACAACAACAATATCGAAATTGCAGCTCGACAAGTCATCCCGGTTTCCTTGACAGTAAATCCCAGCCCGGGCAGCAATGACCGTGTGATTGCCATGTTGGAGCCAATGGGTCCGGGCTCTCTGCGGGTGACCCTGATGGGGCTTGGTACGGGCAGGGCTGGGCACGCCAGCAGGGCACGGAGAGGCTGCAGGGATGCTGACCCCTGGGGCATTGGCCTCGTGCTCTGAGCACCCGCGCCTGCCAAGCCAGCGAGCCAACAAAGTCTGCAGGGAGCAGAAACTCAGAGGAGCCGCTTGGCAGGCTCCGGGTGGCACCTCCGCTTGGCACTCACAGTGGGCACGGGGCAGAGGAGAAGGGAGTAGCTGGGCAGGCAAGGCGTGGCCCCCTCGGGTAGGGTAGCACCCCACAATCACGGCTGAGGCAGGTGGGCATCGCCCCACGGGGTCCTGCGCCCTCTAAGAGGGGTCACCCCCATGGTAGGGGCTGTGGGGGTCCAGGGGGAGGAGGAGGAGAGAGGCAGGGCTGGTTCACTACATGCTGCACCCCTGGATCAGAGGTCCCCAGGATAGGGATGCTGGGAAATGGGGGACCTTGAGCGATTTCAGAAGCTAGGGTGCTCTGGGGTAATGGGGTGCTAGAAAGATGGGGGTCCTCAGGACTGGGGCACCCACAGAGGAACAGAACCCCCGGAAAAGGGAGTGCCCACGGGGAAAACGGGTGCTGGGAGGCCGGGGTCCCCAGGGGTGAGCGCAGCCCCTGGAAAGAGGAAGCCCGAGGAAAGGGCAGGGATAAAAGTGCCTCCCGCAGAAACAGGGTGCGGGCGAGAGGGACGGGGGGAAGGTATCAGAGGGCTGGGGGCTGACAGAGGAGGGGGATCACGACCCCGGAACAGGGGGCACCGCAGCACCGCGGAAGGAGAGGATCCAGCCCGGGGCTGCGGGGTGGCTCCGGAGGCTGTGCAGGAGGAGCGGCCGCCGCGCTGCCTCCCCTCGCTGCTACTTTCGCTTTACAGCGGCCGCTTCCCGGGGCCGCCCGTCCCGATCCAGCCCAGCCCAGCCCTTCCCAGCCCGTCCCGGTCCAGCCAAGCCCAGCCCAGTCCGTCGCAGTCCGTCCCGGTCCAGCCCAGCCCGTCCCGTCCTGTCCCGGTCCCGCTGTTACCTGCACGAGAAGGCGTCCGGCTGCCGCTCGCCCATGGTGGAGCGGCGGAGCGCCCAGGACGGGGCGGGCGGGACGGGGCGCACGGCTCGGCACGGTTCGGCTCGGCACGGCTCGGCTCGGCACGGCTCTGCTCAGGCAGGAAACCGGGGCAGGCGGCTCCGCATTTCCGCCGGGCGGAGGCGCGGGGCGCGGACCCCGGCCCCGGACGGGTTATGTAAAGCGGAGCGGCGCGGCCGGGGGCGGAGGCTGCGCGGGGGCGGAGCGGAGGGGCCGCCCCGTCCGTTCGTCCGTCCGCCTGCCTGTCTGTCCGTGTGTCTCTCTGTCTGTCCGTGTGTCTCTCTGTCTGTCCGTGTGACTGTCCGTGTGTCCGTCCGTCCGTCCGCGGGAGCGCACGGCTCCGCGCAGCTCCGCCCCTCCCCGCCGCTGCCTTTATCTTATCGCATCCGCGCCCGCGGAGGCAGTGGCACAAACAGCTCGGCCCGCGCTCTCGGGGTGGATTTATTTTTCATTTAGGTGTGTGTGTGTGTATATTAGTTTTTATAACTTTTAAATTTTTTTCTCTCTGTGGATTTGGGGGTGTCAGCCCTGGCACCCCCGGCCCCGGCCCCCCGGCAGTCGGGAGGGTGCCCGAGCTTGGGGTGTCCTGGGGGCTCGGGAGAGGCGTGTGCAGTAAAACCCCCCACTTTACTGTTCCTGACTGGCTTTGTCCTCCCACGGCTCTGCGGGCTGGGACCCAAGGGACCTCTGCGGTGGCAGCAGTGGGCCAGGCACCGTCTCAAACCCCATTTCCCATCATCTTCCAAATTATCTTGCGGTGAAAGGCACCGTGGGGCACTGCCCACGCCCAGCCGGAGCGGGTCAGGACACAGGGCCCACAATTGTCCCATACCGTGGGCGAGGGCTTCGGCCATGACCAAGTGGTCACAGTGTCCCTTTGGTCCCAGGAAGGGCTGGGAAGTGGTGTGGGTGGACACGGGTCAGGCTCAGCCATCCTGGTGCCATCCTGGTGCCATCTCATCCCAGGGGAGCAGAGGCCCCACAGCAGAGCTGCAGCCACCCACTCTGCCATGGGAAATGGGAGGAAAATAAACTTCCACTGCACCTTTTTCCAGGAAAGGGCTGGATTGTGGCCTGTGCCATCACATCTGGCCCACTGATAGCTCCCACCGGTGTCACCAGTTGTTTCAAGAACTCTGAGGCCTCATCCTTGCAGAATGGCAGCAGTACCAGGGACAGAGGAGTTCTCCTTGCCCCACAGACCCCCATACAGGGCAGACAGAAGTCACAGCAGAGCAGCCCTGCCTGGGGCTGGTGCCCATCCAAGCCAAGGAAACCCAGGGATGTGGCAGCTGGGATTTTACAAACACCACACAATGGATTTGTGGGTGTTGGGAATGTGGAAACTGTGGGAATTTGCCCTTGGAGAGCAGGTTGAGGCACACTGAGCTGCTTGTGAATAAGCACGTGTGCCACCCCCAGTGGGTCCATCCCCAGCGATGCTTTAAAATACACCTCAGTCATTCACCCTATACATTCCCAATCCATCTCCTTCCAAGGACAGACTGAAATAGGAACTCCCTGCTGGTGCTGTGCCACCCCTGGGCCACAGCCAGTATGGATGCAGTCCTGCTGCCCCCCTCCAGCCTCACCAACCCCCCCGAATCAGATTTGAGACATCACCCCACAAAACCCTTGGGCATCGCCTGCTCCAGGGATCCAGGTGACTCTGCATCCAACCAGCCTATCTCAAACCCCACAGCGAAGTGGTTGGGAGCAGCTGACATGATAAGATCTTACCTTAAAAGCTGCTTTTTAATTCCTCCTGCCGTTGCTTTACGCATAATTGCACCTTCTGGCTCTTTTCCTGAGGACGGAGGAGCGGCGGGCGGGTCCGGATGCCTGCCCTCCTTCCCACGGGCTGCTGTCCCAGCTCCCAGCGATCGCACTTTTCTTTATCAACTTAATCTATGTCAGAAGCGCCCTCTCAGCGTCCTTAGCCCCGGTGGCCCGAGATTTCTCTGTTGTTTTGCTTCCTGTATGGATTTTCTACAGTCCCCAACTGCTAATTCAGTGCCCCGACTTCTGCTTTTTCTGTTTGTATATGTGGAGCTGCACAGATGCCCTTGTACACACACACTGCTGCTTCCCTTCTGCTCTGCACTGCCCTCAGCTTTTAACCATTGCTGCTTTCTTCTCCTGTAAAACCCTTATTCTGCTTCCGACAGTCCTTCCCACTTCCCTCTTTAATTCCTGTGCGCTGGCCTATTCCGTTTTCAGGATGCGTGGGGTGGTTTGGAAGTGGCACATCTGCATTTCTCCAGCTGGGATGTGATGGGTTTCAGGTGACCTCTGCCATCCCACAATGAGATGAGTGTTCCCCCCAGCACGCCGAGAGGTGCTCTGGAGTGACTTCTGGAAATGCTTGGCTATGGGTATCCGTGCTGAGCTGGCAATGCCCCTCAAAATCTTAACCTGGCTTTTATGTGCCCATTCAGAGGACTGGGTGGGCTTGGAGGTGGTAATGGAGAGGGTGATTGTGGGTTGATGGGGTGATTATGAGCAGGGTGATGATGGGGATGAGCATCAGGGTAGTGATGGGGGTCGCAGTGGGGGAGGTGATGGGGCTGGATGGTGGTGGGGGGTGATGGAGGGGGCGATGGGGGGTGCCCCGAGGCTGGCTGCCCCCTCCTCCCCGCCGAGCCAAGCAGCGCTCCCGCCGCCGTGGCCGGGCTCCCGCCGCCCTCTCCCGGCCCTTCGCCGCGCTGCAGCCGCCGCCTCCGGCCCTTCCCTGCCCGCCTCCTCCTGCCCCGGGGGCAGCGAACCCCGATCCTGGCCTGCCAGGCCGGAGACTGCGTGGGACGTAGGATCCCGCGTGGGAGCGGGGAGGGACAGGGGTGCCCGCACCCCGAAACGCGCTGGGGAGTGTCGCGCCAGCCCCACGCCCAGTTTCTGTGACAGTCACGACTTGTTCGCCTTGAACCCCAGAGCACAGCTTGGGGCCCATCTGGGGTCCCCGGGGACCATTCGCTGCCGGTCACGATGGAGACCCGCACCCCTCCTCCCCCGTGTGCCGGGGGGACACACAGCACCGGGCATCCAGCAGCCCCTTGGGACTCCCTGGCACCCCAAAATTTCCAGCTTTGGGGGTGACTCAGAGCTCCCGCTCACCTCTCTGAGCCGTCCAGCACCCACTGCTGCGTAACCACACCAAGTCACCGGTCATGGGAGCAGCAGGAAGCGGAGGCCAAGGGCACCCCATGGCCAAAAATGCTCTTGGCACCCCCTGGCCTCCTTTCAGACCCCTTTCTTCTCCCTTTTCCCTGTTGTCGGGTAAGCTCTGCATGGGAATTTATTTTCCCATCTTTCTCATCAGGCCTTGAAAGGGGACACTGAGGTGCAGGCTCTGGTCTCCTTCCTGGGACAACAGGGAAAATATGGAGCCACTCAGAAGGGGAAGTGCTGGAGCCTGTGCAGCAACACGCGACTGTCCCAAGGGAGACTCAACGGGAAGCAAGAACCCACAGGGGAATTTTGTTGATGCTTTTTGAGAAATTAGGGCGATTGTCCAAAGCAGCTTCCACGGAGCTCCTTGGGAAGCTGCTGTGGAGGAGGAGCAACCATTGGAACAACCTCTGCTGAAGTGGTTGGTGGGGCTGCTAGAAGTAAATGTGATTTTGGAGTCCCAGGAAAGAAAAGTAGAGCTGGGAGCACAGTTGCCTTTTTCCAATTACCCCAGCTGCTCTAATAGAGATATTGCTTCTCCCCACGGTCCTTCCCCTTCTAATCTTGCTACATGAAAAGGCATCTCTCAGCAAGGCAGGGAGATAAGTGGTGCAGAGACCTGAGTCTTCCCACCAGCGACCTTGAACAGAGCTGCTCAGCTCAGGAGGGAAGATAAAGCCCTGATGGGTTTAGTGCTGGTTTAAATCCCTTTTCATAACCTGAAAGTGAAAGTCTGCAGGTGATAGGGAAAGCCCTCGATGAACTGAAAACCTCTGACACAAGCAGAAGATTGCAAGGCCTTGAGCAGCTGTGTAGGGAGGTGGGGACATCTAAGGGGAGAGTGGTGAGGACCACAACCTGTGGCAGAGGTCACCGACAGCAGGATTTCTGGGATGGGGACCTGTAAAATGGTCGCCAACAGCGGGATCGCTAAAATACACACATGGCCATGGAGTAAAGCAGGGGGATGAAGAAACTGGAGGAAAGGGACAGTGATAAGGAGAGCAAATCCTTGACTCTGGTGTTTATTGGGACATGGTGAGGACAGCAGCACTGCCAAGGTGGTTCCTGGACTGGTGACACTTTCAGCCTGGAAGGCCAACCAAGAGCAAAAGTCAGACGGGAGGTTTCTCCCAGCCAGAAGGTTTATGGTTGTCCTGGGACATGGGTACCAGCAACGGGAGATCCAGCCCTGGCCCCAGCGCTCAGCACAGCCAGACCCACTCACCCTTGGCCCAGATGGGGCAAGTGCTGGCCACCCGTCTGAGGGTGCATCCACAGCTCCAGTGCCATGTGGTACCCATGGGCAGGAAGGAGCAAGGGGGCTGTTGGCTCTGCACACACCGTGGCACAACACCCAGCAGCTCCAGTGCCCAGCTAATGGCTCATCACTCCCTGCTCCTTGTGTCAGCTGTCACCTTCCCCCAGACACCATCCAGGCCACTCAGCTCCTTCTGTTCCTCTACACCAAGGTATCCTCGCTTGGCTTTGGCCCAGCTTCTCCCAAAGATACACCTGGAAGCTCAGGAGAATGGACGGGAATTGCAGCCTGGTCCCCTGCAGCATCTCCCACCCACACAGGACCCTGCCCTGCTGCCTTCACCTCCAGCCCTCTTTGTGGGTTTGTGTTGTCCACCTCATCCACTGACCTCTGCCCATTCCCTGCCAGACACTCCCAGGATCCCAATTCTTTGCCCCCAAAATCTGATCAAAAATTCAATGTGCAGTCACTTTCAGCACTAAACACTTGGGCTTCCCGTCCATGAGTACACCCACATGTACATCCTGCGTACGTCCATGTGTATATCCATGCATACATCCACACGTACATCCATCTATACATCCCTGGATGTGCATCTCTCCCGCACACCTCGATACGTGCCCCCACCTCTTCTCTCATTCCTCTCTCTCTTCCCGGTGCTAAGTCCCGGTGTGAGGAACTGTTACCGGCCGAGGGCTTTGGGTCGAGCGAGGAGCTCTGAGCCCCGAGGGTGAGCTCCGAAGCGGTTTTCCAGCTCCTCCTCCCGCCCGCGGGCCGCGCGGGGCCGCGGTGATGGGCGGTGGCGGAGGCGGGCGGGAGCAGCGCTCCGCCCGGGGGCCGGGCCGGGCCGGCGGGAGCCGAGGACAAAGGTGACCGGGCGGGAGCGGGAGAGGGGCCCCCAAAGCCCCTTTACACCTTCCGACCCCGGATCCAGCGCTCCCACGGCCTCCACGGCCGCCCGCGCGTCGCTGATGCTGGTGACCGCCGGAGAGCCGAGGTAGAGGCAGAGTCCAGGTGGGTGGAAAGCCTGGCACGGCGATCAGGGGACAAGGGGAGCGGTGGCCTCGCCCGGGTGACAGGGTTCATGGTCACGGCTTTCTGGAGCCGCAGCCGGATCCGCGGCGCCGGCCAAAACCCTCCCTGCGCGCCGTGGGGAGGAGCGGAGCCACACGGCAAACACGGCGCCGGCGGGAAGGTCACCTGTGCCAGGTGACGTGGGGCACCGGGACAAGCCCTGCCTGGGGCTCCTTCGCGGGAAAACACTCTACTGGGGAGAGAAACCTCCTCCCCAGCGAGCCCCAAGGAGCCACAACCCACCCAGCACTCGCTGGACAGAGCACCTTGGCTGAGGGCGGTGTTATCCCAAGTATCCCAGGGTTGTTTATTCACCACCTCCATTTCCTGCGCGTCGGGTCTGGCGCCACCGGCAACAAAAAGCCGATGGTTTATTCCCATGCAATTAAGGCGCAGCCGCCCCTCTGTCCCCGCAGGGCGTGGAGCCATGAAGCTGAACGAGCGGAGCCTGGCCTTCTATGCCACCTGCGACTCCCCGGCTGACAACTCCGGCTTCCTCTACAAGCGCGGCGAGCGGCACACGGCTTATCACCGCCGCTGGTTCGTGCTCAAGGGCAACATGCTCTTCTACTTTGAGGAGCGGGAGAGCCGGGAGCCGGTGGGCGTCATCGTGCTGGAGGGCTGCAACGTGGAGCTCTGTGAGTCAGCCGAGGATTTCGCCTTCGCCATCCGCTTTAGCGGCACCAAATCCCGCACCTATGTGCTGGCGGCCGAGAGCCAGGCGGCCATGGAGTCATGGGTGAAGTCGCTCTCCCGAGCCAGCTTCGACTACATGCGGCTGGTGGTGCGGGAGCTGGAGAAGCAGCTGGAGGAGATACGCTGGGGGCTGCCTGGCGGTTGTGGGGGTTCCCGGGAGTGTCCCAGCTCCTGGAAGCCAAAGCAGTCCCCGGAGCGGCTGCCAGCTCTGCCCGCCATCCTGCCAAAGGAGAATGGCTGCGCGGTGTGGAACAACGCCTTGGGAGTGGGCCAGCCACTGGACACCTCTGGCTGTGGTGGGAATGACGATGAGGGGACCTCGCTGCCGCCGCCGCTGCCGCCACGCAGGCGGGTGTTGAATGGTCAGGCCACAGTGGAGAGCCCATCCATCTTCTGCCAGCTCCACGAGCGCTACAGCCGGGAGGTGGCCCGGCTGCGGCAGGACTGGCTGGAGAAGCAGCGTGGGCCCCGGCCCTGAGTGGCGGCCAAGCCCTGGGAACACACCAGGACCTGTGGCAGGGTGGAGGTGGTCATCCTTGGTGCTGCCCCTCCTCACCCTGGGATGTGCAGCCCTGTCTGTGGTGGTGATGGACACCTTGATGGTGCCAGTGAGCGCCCAGCGCCAAGTGCTGCTCCGTGATGGTGAAATGGGCATCTCGTGCCAGGCAGGGATGAACTCTCCAGTCACACCCGGATGTGGCTGTGGGGTGGCCCACTCAGCACAAGCAACCTCTGAACCACTCACTGGGAATCGACCACTGCTCTGGATCTGGTGGGGCCTGTTAAAGCTCTTGCAGTGCGATCATGCATAGACAATACTTTGGGAGGAGGATTTTGATGGGATCTCGCCTGCCTGAGCGCCTGTGTGGGTGTTTCACAGCTGGAGAGCCTGTTACCGACTTCCCCTCCCTGCCCAGCACAAGGCTGAGGTCGGCTGAGCTCCACCAGATCCCTCTGCGCCAGCAGGATGTGGTTTGAAATGAAAATATCAGTGAGTGCAGCCCTTCCTTAGTGGCAGCAGCAGCACTGCACACTCCAGCTGCCGGGGGGGCTGATGACACCCGGCCCCGGGCATTACAGAGCTACTGCTGCTTGCAACCCCTCCACTGAATTTGGGGGGGTCAGACCCCAGGGGAACGCAGCAGCTGCGGGTGCTGCCTTGCTTGTGGATATTTTGGGACAGCACAACATCCCTGTGCCAGTTCACTAAGGGGAAGCATCGCTCACAGTGGCAAATGGGAATGTGTGTGTCAGCAGCAGAGCGTGAGGGATGATTCATGTGCCAAAGCTGGTGTCTCATGCCAGTGTTTCTCTCTTATTTCCCCAAGAGACACTCAGGCTGCTGGCCTGGAGGTAGGGTGACCCACCCTGGGTAACGGCAGAGCAGTCAGGGTGTCCCGGCTTTGGGCTGGGTGGCTCTGGCTCCCTTTGCCCCCTTGGGACAGACACAAGATTTTGCTACAATAAAAGTTGTTTCAGAAATTCCCTCCTGGCCCTGGTTCTTGTTTGTGCCTTTAAGACCCTGGGGAGGAGGGTCCAGGTGGGAATTAATCCTCTGTTTTAGTCTCCATCTTGTCCCCACCATGTCAGTGGGGCTAGTCAGGGACTGTATCACCCGAGGGGGAGATGGCCAGTGCCAGGGTCTGGCAGTGCCCTAGAGCCCCATGTCTTCCTGCAGACATGGGACGGGATGGTGCCACCCTGGGAACATCAGGACACCTAGTGCCAGGGTGGTCCCATGGCAGGGATGGGTCTTAACCAGGGACAAAATATCTGTCCCCTTGTGAGGGCTGGTGTTGGTGCTACAGAGAGACCAAGGACTCTGCCCTTATGAAAGGGGCCAACACGTCCCCATGTCCTTGCCCATGACACCCCACTGTGTGAATGTCTCCAGCTTCTTGCTAACACAGGGTCTTGCGGAGGTCAAGGGATCACCTCTTGGGGAAACTGAGGCTTGAAGCCAGCCAGGGTCACCTGCTTGTCAAGAGCCCTGCTGAGCATGGAGCCCTGCTCCTGGGCACGGCACCCAGCTACATGTTTTGGCATTTGGAGCAGTGCCAAGGGCAGCCGGGGTGCAGCTGCACCCGCAGCCCCCAGATGGTTGATGTGGCCCCGTCCTTCCCGGCAGAGGAAGATTCCAGTTTCCATGGCAGCTGGCCCAGCTTCTCCAGACATTCAGATATTCATTAAAAATAAGTCCTTCCCAACATGTTATCCGACAAACAAGCTTAAACAGATAGGCAACATATGGATTTCTTAATTCATCAGACAAACAGCCCTGCCTCGTGTTGGAGCTGCCAACTTGCCTGGCGATGGTCGGCTCCAAAGAAGAGCTGTGCTGGGGTGTGGTGCCACTGGCAGTGCCAGGTTGGATGGGGCTTTGGGCAGCCTGGTCTAGTGGAAAGTGTCCCTGCCCCTGGCAGGGGGTTGGAATGAGATGGGCATTAAGGTCCCTTCCAACCCAAAGCATTCCATGATATCATTTTATGATAAACCAAGCCAAAACTCATGCTGGACAATACTGAGCTACCCCATGGAGGAGGAACAAACCTGCAGCAGGGATGGGCACAGGAATTTCATGGGGGAGGATTGCACCCTGAGCTGGACTAGCCCCATCTGTCACCCTATTTTTTACCCCCCAGTCACTGGGATATGTTTATGGCCACAACCCCAAAGCAAAGCTGTGACTTCCAAGGGTGCCAACACTAGGCATGGGTGAAGCTGAGCGGAGCTCACATCCCACCAACTCTGGACAAAACACAACCCAAGGCCAGAGTCGTATCCAACTTCTGTATTTAGTGGCTCTTTACAGAACTTGTTCCTTCCAAAATTGTTTAAACAAAGTTCATCGATCTCATAGAAACTTTTGAAGTACAGAACATGAGCCTAACAAAAACGTGACCGGTATGTCCCGCTGGCTTTCATACAACAGGATTGCCATGTTCAGGACTATCCTAAGTGCTTCCTCAAGTCCCGTTCCACTAAAGCTCCCGCTAGCACACGACGGAGAAGGCAGTCAATGGTTGCACCTCGACCTTCCTCAGCGTGGTGGCAGGGAAAAGAGCGGCCGTGGGCACACTGGGGCAGGGCAGGTGGGCAAGGAGAGCCGTGCCCTCACTGAGGCGCCTTCAGCATTGCTCATCCACCACCACCTGAATATAAAAATACCTTCTATTCTGATAAAAATGTTTACAGTGGAAAATCAGTCAATGCATAGCCTGGGAGCCTGGCAGGGAGCCCTCCTGGTGGCGTGGGGCTTGGTGGGCGATGGCAGGGGCAGGGCAGGGCAGCCCAGCACAGGCCACCCTGAATCGTTTAAAGGCATTTTGTCAGCACAGGCTGGCTGGAGGTGGTGGGGTCGGGGTGGGGGACAGGGAGCATGCCATGATAGTGCCACCACTGAGCTGATCCTGCACAGGATCAACCCTGGAAAGCCAAAGCTCGATAGTGCTTTGCCCAGTTCAGGGCTGAGCTTGCCCAATTCAGGCAGGTGAGACATCCCAAGGCTCATCCTGGCACCACCAACAACCACTGCCTGGGACACGGCTGTGGGAAGGGGATGCTCCTTCTACCCGGGTGCTCTCCCTAAAAAAAGTGCTTCAGCCACAAGAACTGGCTGTGATGCTGGAGCAGCCCCGAGCAGAGCAGGGCTCATGAATTTTGGGTGCTCACCCCAAGCACTGCTGCCCCAGGGAGGCTCCATCTCTTTTCCTTTCCCAAATGGACTATGGCAGAGCACAGGGAACCGGGATGGGATGGATGTCCATCCCCTGCAAGCCGGTGCCATCCCTGAGCGTCACATCCAGGTACCTCTTCCCACCTTGCTCCCAAAATCCCAAGCACAGTTTGCTTTCTTTGCTGTTGCCATATTTTCTCTCTTCCCTTGGGAGCTGGTGTCAGCCGCATCGCGCCACAGTGGAGCTGCCACCGGCTGCCGGCTGGAGGAAGCGCGAGGGATGGCGTTGGGACCATGCTACATCTTGTTCCAGGAGGCTATTGCAGACATCTCTACAACATATACAACCGCACGGGACATTCTGTGTTACGAAGGTTTCCAAAAACATAAACCACCAGAACTAAATACATACTCGATGGCGTCGGGGGGTCACTTTAGAGTCTTCAGGGACTAGGACGCAGTCTCTGGCTGGGGCAGAAGCGATGCAGTGTCTTACAGACAGGGGTGGAAACTGCAAAAGTTTCTTAAATTTGGTCAGTCTCATAGTGCTTCTTGATGGCTTTGCTCAAAAAGTCTTTTCTGTGGGTTGGTTTTTGTTTGGGTTTTTTTTAATTTGTTTTTAATCTCATCCAGTGGCAAACTACAAGACTTCAGTGTACATTTAATGACACGACTGCTACATCATCTTGATTTTATAGCTATCTTTAATATCAAAGCAGCTTAAGCTGTTAATAAATTCCAAAGTATCCTTTTATTAAAATATCTAAAAGAGGTCTATAAATATTTTTTTGTTTTGTTTTTCTTTTCTAAAATTGTTCCCAGTTTTTTCACATTTAAAACAAAGCCAGGGGGTGGCTTCATAGCAGGGGTGGGGGGAGGGTACCCCCTTTCTCCACGGGTGCTCCCCTCCTGGCACCGGCATCGCCTCTCGGTGCACACTGCATTTATCAAAATATATATATATATGTGGCTGTGTATATATATATTTAGGGCGGCGGGGGGGGTTCAGAACTCCCACTCGAGGGCCTCCTCGCGGTTGGCAGCCCGCTCCAGGCGGTGGATGATGTTGTTGAGGTTGGCCATCTTCTCGTGGCGCCGCTGGACGCTGGTGCTGAGCCGGGGGCCGGGAGCTGGTGGGAGCGCCGGTGAGACCGGCCCAGCTGAGGATGGTCCCGGTGAGGCTGAGCCGGTGAGGCCGGGTGAGGAAGCCGCCGAGGGTGATGTTGGGGAGACCTCCAAGCTGCAACGGGATGACCCTGCGGAGGACTGGGAGCTGTCGGGGTGCGGCGGTGGTGGTGCTGGGGGTCCCCCGGCGGTGGCACCGGCACGGCCTCCCCGCCGTGAGAGGCTGCTGGCGCTGGGGGCGGCGGCGTGGGGGGCTGTCTCCCGCTCCTCCTGGGGAGGTCCGGTCCCCTCGTCCGCCCCGGCCGGGCTGTGTGAGTCCCGCCGGCGGCTCCAGCCACCTGTGTCCCCCTGCTCCTCCTTCACCTTCACGGGCACAGCAGCACAGGGGTGCTCGCCCCCCGCGAACACGGGTTTACGATCCTCGGCGTCCGAGTCGGGGCTGTGGGGGGCCCGGCGCCCGGGGATGGCCGTCCCCCCACTCTGCTCTGGGTCCGTGTCATTGTCCTGAGCGCCCTCCACCAGCATCTCCCGGCGCATCCGTGACCTGCCGGGACACAACAGCGGAGGGTCAGCGACCTCCATCCCTCACCCCGTGTCACAGACACAGCATGTCTTGAAAGAGCATCTCCAGCCAGAAAAATGGGATATGTCCACCTACAGCACTGCCTAAGGATGAAGCCTGTGCTGCTGGGCTGCTGTAGGGATGAATCCTGTGCTCCAGGAGCCTCCAGAAGGCTTTCCCCCACCCATTGTGGAGCTCCTGCTCCAGTGAGCAGGTGGATATGAGCACGGAAACCTCTTTAGATGCTCAACATGACTCAAGGTGGTAAACACTCTTGAACACCCACCAGCCAGGGCACAGGTAGTATTTTGGCTACAGTCCCACACCTGGGGATGTCCAGTGACCATGTGTGGGTCTGCACGTCCCATCTAGGGAAGAGAGGCTGGGAAGGCTGGAAGAAGAGCAGTGACACCACCTTGGTGGCACAGCACCATCAGATGACCAAAGCTCAGGAGTGCCCATACCTGTAGTTGTGGAACCAGTTGATGACAGTGTTGGTCTTGAGGTTGAGCTGGAAGGAGAGCAGCTCGATGGTCTGCTGGGAGGGGTAGGGCTCCAGCTGGTAGGCTTTCTTCAGGGCTTCCTTCTCCTCCGGGGCCAGCACCACCCGTGGCTTCTTGATCTGGAGGAGGCTGAGGTCCTGTGGCGGCACACTGGGGCTGGCGCACTCGGAGCGGGCGCTGGGGGACTCGCTGTCCGAGCCGGCGCTCATCAGCCCGTACCGGCGCTTCAGGTAGGCTGCAGGAGAGGACACCCAGCTGCGCGCCGCTCGCCCCCCGGCCCGGGACCCCCCGCCCGGACAGCACCCTGACACCGGTGAGGCCGTGTCACCCCAACCCTCACCTTTCTTCTCCAGCTTCTTCATGTCACGCAGCTTCTCCACATTGTGGGGGTCATTGAGCCAGAGCTGCATCCGGACAAAGGGCTCCCTCCCCTTCAGACTCAGCTTGTGCCACGGCTTGGGCCTGGAGAGGAGATCGGACACCGAGCCCTGCGTCAGGCCCAGGATGCTCTCCCCAAACAGCCGCTGGCCTGGTGGAGGAGAAGCAGAGGTGGTTAGAGGGGGTAGAGCAGTATGATGGGCTCTATAGTCCCCCTGTGGAGTGGGCACATCCCATTTCCCAGCCAGCATCCTCCCAGAATCGCCTTGAGCGAACCATGGGGGCTTGCATCTATGGGAATTGGAGTGCTGGATCCACGCAGCCTCACCAGCAGCTCCTGAAAACCCGGACGGAGAGAGGGTCCGCACCTAAATTGTTGTCTGTCAAGACCTCCTTGACCTTCTTAGTGATGGAGTAGGTGTCCAGCTCGGGAGACATGGCAACGATCTCCTGGATGCCCACGGGTCCCTGGCTGTTGGGGTACGTCTTCCCACCCAGCGTGGGCGTCGACCGGCTCTCAGGCTGCTGGTTTTCCTTGCTGCTCTCCAGGGCCAGGGTGAGGGGCTCCTGGCAGCCCTTGTCGTGCTCAGCAGGGCTGGGGGGTGGCGAGGGGGATGGCTGGGGCTCCGCCGGGCTGGCTGTGTGACACCAGGGACAGGGGTCAGGGGGACAGCAGGAGGGACAGCACATGAAGGTTATTTTGAGGGATGCCTTTGGCTCTGCCCTCCAGTGGCTATGGGAAAGCAGGGGGTACCAGTGGACTAATTAAAGATAGAAAATGACACTAACATAAAAAAATTCATTACTGTTTTATGCCAGGCATGAAGCCAAAGATTTTTTACGTGGCTTTCCTTTTTTTTGTTTTAAATTAAGGAGGTTGGGAATGAAAGGAGCTTCCCAGGATCAGGGTGTGGGTGCTGGAGGTGGCAGGGACAGCTCTTCTAGAAGCTGAGGTGGGAGTGGGACAAACATCCTGGATGCAGAGGATGGTCACAGAAGGGCTAGGGACACTGATGGCACATGGGAACCACTGAGACAGGGGGGACAGCAGTGTCACTTACCCTGGGATGGTGTGGGCTGCTGGCTGATGCCCTGGCCCAGCTGGTCGGTCAGCCAGAGCTGCATGCGGATGAAGGGCTCCCGACCTTTCTGTGTCAGCTTGCTCCATGGCTTGGGCCGCGACAGCATGTCACTCACACTGCCCTGGGACAGTCCCAGCACCTAGGGCACCATGCACATGTCACTCGCCGAAGGTGGGGTGCACTCCCCCCAGCACTGGGATGCTGCCTGTCCTCCGTCCCCATGTAAAGGGAGGGGAATTAGGCTGTCACCCTCTGCCACCTGCTGCCACCCAATGCCCCACGGCACATATGGACCCCTTGCCCCCAGCCATAGATGTTGATGGTGGGATACTCAGTGGGATGGGAGGGTGGTCCAAGCAGGTCTCTGCACAGGGACTGGGCATTCCTGGTGGGAAGTGCCACCAACCAGTTAGTGGTGACCACTGGGAGACAATTTGGGGTTGGGTCAGATCCTGAGGACTCAGCATCCTCCCAGGGGAAAGCCACTGGGGAAAAAGGGGATCCTGGAAGGAGCTGGTGAAGGCAACCAATGAGCCCTGGGCTCTGGCTTGTGGAGGGGACACTGGACCCCCCCTCTCCAGGTTGGTACCTTCTCCCCGAAGATCCTCTGGCAGATGCCGTTCTTGGCCAATTTCTCCTTGACCTGCCGGGTCAGCTCCAGCGTGTCCACCTCCCTGTACATGTACATCTCGTACTGCTCTGGCGTCAGCGGTGGCACGGTGGGCTTCAGGGTCCGTGGCACGTACGTGGGATAGTAGGAGAGACGCCCACCAGCTGCTGGCTCTGTGCCGGCTCCCTCTGCCTTCATCTCCGACAGCCGGTGGGGCTCCTCATCCGCCGGTGGCAGCTCATCCTCATTTGTGCCGCCCTCGCCGGGCTCACCCCGCGGCCAGCCCCGGCCATTGGCCATGCTGGAGTAGCTCGAGGAGGAGGAGGAGAGCGAAGGTGAGACAGAGGTGTAGGGCCGGCTGAGCAGGCTGCGCTCCGACGCCCAGTGCTGGTCGAAGTAGGAGCCGGCGTCGCCAATCTCCGACTTCACCTTCCGGATGATGCTCTGGACAAAGGCGGCGGGAGAGAGGACGGCCAGGGGCGTCTGCGGGGGGCCGGGGCTGGCCCCGCTCCCCTCCTCCTGCTTCACGTAGGCGGGGGTGACGTTCTGGCTGACGGTGGCCAGCGTGGAGCGCTCGGCAGGCGCCGGGTCCGTGGGGCGCCCGTTGCCCCCCGACTCCATGTCCAGCAGTGCCTGCTGCTGCGCCTGCATCTCCCGCCGCGCCTGCTCCAGGATGCTCTTGATGGCGTCCTCCGAGCTGCTGCCGCCCGCCCCGTTGGCCACTGCCTGCGATGCTGATGGTGCCTTGGGTTCCCCTGCAGAGAAAAGGGGTGAGGGGAGCCCCGAGGACACACTGTTCACCATGTGGCCGTAATTCAAAATGCAGGAGGAAAAGGGATTTATCCCAGTCTGGTTTGGATGTGGGCGCAGAGCAGGACCAGCAGTGCCCACTAAGCTTCAATACTCAAAGCCAGCTTCTTTTTTGATGATTGCAAAATAAATCCCATTACCAATGACACGATAGACAAACATGTTTGTTTTCCCTGTCTGTTTTTCCACTGTTCCCGTCTAATTTAATTCTCCAGGATTCTGCTTTCTCAGCAGACTACCTGTTTTAATGTATTTCATTTCTTGTAATTTACTGTGAGCACATCTGCTTTAATGATTCCTTGTGCCAGATGGATTGTGCATCCTCATTTAATCATCTGTTTTGGGGCAGGGGGGGAGAAAAAGTGCATCCAAAGTTTCCAAAAGCCCAGATATGAACACTGCTGCACGGTGATTCTTCCTTCCGTCCTTGACAGCATTTAATTCTTTCCACCATGGCCAAAAAATTCTCTGTGGATGTCAGTGCGTGAGTGGCCCCAGAAAAGGCCATTTTTTGGGTGGGACCCACAGCCACACAGCACCCAGGGGCTCAGCCACCCCTCGGGGCCACCCTATGCCAGCACCTACCTCCCTTCTGCGACTCGATCTCCTTCTTTGCCTGCTCCAGGATGCTTTTGATGGCGTCGTCGGAGCCGGTCTCCGGTGTCCTGATCCGCGGCGTGATGCTACCTGATCAAAGAGGCAGGATAACAGCTTTGTCACCGGCGCTGGTTTTACAAGCTCCACTTGTATGTCAGGAAGTATTTACTGCTCCTCATGTTCAGTTATTTTTAGGGATGCTGGTTTGAAGACAAATGTCATTCCCGATTAGTCGCTACCGGAGCCCCGGGAGCTGTGGTTGCCAGCTCCTGCCTCTGGCATGGCACCTCCCACCACCTTGCTCATCCCATCCAAGGGCGCCCGCTCCACACTGGCACGTAGGGTGCTGAGCAGAGACATGGGCACAGGGACCATGTCCCCATCCCTGGCACTGTGCCCTCCTGGCTGTGCAGGTGAAGGGTTAATGGTGGATAGGATCCAGGGAATAAATCGGAGCCTTCCAGGATGAAACCAGCAGATTCATGGACCATGGACATGCACTGTCCAGTCCTGGTTCCACCACAGGGATTTAAGTGACCCGCTGCCACCTCTGAGAGGGCACCAGCAGTCGCCATCCCTGGAGCCAGGAGCCACCATTCCGTGGTGATGCCAACACCCACTGAGGTCCCGCAGCACCAAAACTTCATTATTTTAACAAAATATTCCCAAGCACATTGATTCATACAGCACAGAACAGCCTAATGAATAATTAAATGGCACTTGTCAGAATAAATGAGTAAAGCACGTCCAGGGACGCAGCTTCCACAGCGATGGGTTGTTGTTAATTGCTGCTGTTTGCCAGGGCTCATCCCAGCCGGCAGCCGGCTCCATCCCACCAGGGACAATCCTGGAGTGCCCCTGGTGGGAGCAACATCCCTGCCTATCTTGCCAGCACATCATGGGCTGGTGAGCACCCCTGCCGCAGCATGGGGCACGGGAGGGTGCTGCTGGGGTGAAGTGGTGTGCACTGGGAGGGGATCCCATGGTACTGCTTGGAGCATCCCAGGGCAGGACCTGTTGGCCGGGGCCACCCCAACCACTCACCTCTCTGGCGCACCTGGATAGTCCTCAGGGCCAGCACATTCTGCTCGTCGGAGAGGAACTGCTTCATCTTGATGAACGGCTCCTTGCCCTTCACTGTCAGCTTGTGCCAGGGCTTGGGTCGCGCCAGGATCTCGCTGACGGAGCCCTGAGACAGCCCCAGCACGTAGTGCCCGAAGACCCGCTGCCCAATGTTGTGCTTCAGCAGCTGCTCCTTCACCTGGAAGGCGATTTCGGCCGTGTCCAGCTGCTCCTCCTCGGCGGAGCTGCCGGCGCTGCCCTCGGAGTTCTCGCCGGGCGGGCTTGCGGCGTTGGTGGCAGGCACAGGGTGCACAGTGCTGCTTTTGGCCCCAAAGAAGGAGGAGGGGAAGGGTCCCCCGGCAGTGCTCTCGCTCTTGTACGTGGGCAGTGGGCAGTGGGGGGCCTTGGGGTCCCCTGAAAGCCGCTCACCCCCTGGGAAGGGGGACAGAGAAAAAGTCCGGGGACCATCGGGGGCCCCACCAGGGCCAGGCAGTGGTGGGAGGGGAGTGGGGGACACAGGTTCATCGCTTGGGGCGTGATGGGGGGATGGGTACGGCTGCTCCATGCCCAGCGAATCCTTCCCCGACTCATCTTCAGAGTGATCCTCCTCTAGAGAGGAATGAGAGAGGGAGACGCGCTAGAGTCCCCCTGGCAACAGCCCCAGCACAGCCCCTCAGCTTCCCCAGGTGACATCCCACCCCGTTTTCCCCCCACCCCACCACTGGCTCCAGGTTCCTTCCTGCAGTCAGCACAGGATCTGTCCCCACTGCCCACATTCCCAGAGATGTTCCCACTGGGACTGGGGATGCCATGGAACCTGGGAGCCCTACCAGTGTTGGCCAGCAGGCTGGGCTTCTCCAGCAGATACTTCTGGGAGGGGTAGAAAGCCTCCTTCCCCAACAGCAGGGCCTCCTCTGCCTTCGATATGCTCTGCAAGGAGCCAAGCCGAGATGGGAACGGGCGGTGGAGGCACCGGCGGCAGGGCTGGCACAGCCCGGCCAGCGCGTCGGCACGCGCCACGGCACTTGCCTGGGGCAGGCTGCAGCCAGCAGAGGCCACCTTCATCGCCTTCAGGATGCTGGGAGGGAGACAAGGGGGTGACTTGGTGGCCGTGGTGCTTTGCTGCCAGCAAGCTGCCGAGTGTTACGGCTGCTGGAGCGCTGCCGTGGGTGCCGGCGGCACTGCGCCAGCTGGGATACAGGCAGGCAGCCATGGATGCCACCTAAGCCATACCTCAGCTCTGTTTTGATCTCCTCGTAGTCCGCCTGTGCCTGCAGCTTCTCCTCCAGCTTCTGCAGAGGAGAAGAGGAGGGGAGTCCTCACAGCTGGCTCTCGGTGCACACCCGGTACAGCCGGACCCACGTCCCCCATCCCCCACAAGCCCCAAACCCCAATGGGCGCACCTCGATAGCTTCATTCTTGGCAGCCAACTGCCCCTCCAGCTCGGCGATCTGGTTGGCAGAGGACTCCTCCAGCTCCTGCAGTGAGCTCTGGAGGTGCTGGATGTCCTTCAGAAGCCGCAGGATCTCCCGGTCCTTGGCAGCCAGAGCTGCCTCCAGTCTTGACCCTGAGCACATGGAATAGTTCACTTTGTCCTGCTGGAAGAAGGGACACTGTCAGTTCCCAGACATCCAACACGAGGACAAAGGCCACCCTTCCCTGTCAGACACATCCCCATGTGTGGCAGGCGGTTCCAGAGCTCAGTCCTACAGGATGGGGACCCAGGTGATGGAGCCTTGGGGCTGGACAGAGTTTTCCTCTGCCCTTAAAGGTCTCCCAAGTGCATCTGAGTGCTATGGGAGTGCATGTCCCCCTCCCCGTGGGAGGCTGGAGGGCATGGCCAGCATCACCACCTCAGGGTGGAAACATGCCTTGGGTATTTTGGGCTTGCTCCTCAACATGGTTGGCTGCTCCTGAACACAAAAAGATGCTCCCAAGTGCAATGGGGTGATCCTGGTTGCTGTGGGGTATGCCTGGCTGCTGTATGGTGCTCTTAACTATGATGGGGTGCTCCCAAGAGCAATGGGATGCTCCAGGTTGTGACAGATGTTCCCAGCCCTGAGGGGTGCTCCCAGCTGTGATGGGGTGCTGCTGGCCCTGAGGGGGTGTTGCTGGCCCTGAGAGGTGCTCCTGGCCCTGAGGGGTGCCCCTGGCCCCGAGGGGTGCTCTCACCCCAGCAGTGCCCGTCGGGGAGCAGCAGGCCAGGCGGAGGGAGCTGTTGACGGCCGCCAGCTGCTCCCGCAAACTCTCCACTTCCCTCTGCGCCACCTCCGCTCGCTGCAGGAGAACAGAAAGGGCATCAGACTGGGCACCTGTGGCTCATCCCATCCCACATGGGGCATAGGAGAGTCCCCATCCCAAGCATTCTGCTCCCACCACCAGTACCATAAGCTCCCTCCACGTATTTAAGCTTCCTGCATCCTAATGCTGGTCCCAATCCCAATCCCTGGGCACTGGGTGCAGACCACCTCCAGAACACTGCCTTGTTCCACCCAAAAGGTCGTTTTTATTTTACATGCAAATTGCTCTTTAAGCCTCTTTTATTATCCACCTGCCTTTATTTGTACCTATATTTTCAGAATTAAATAAAACTAATTAAGAGGAATGGACAAGACCAGGAGTAATTACACCGGAGCCGTGTGTGTTGTGCCCTAAAACACCTGGGAGAGGCTGAAGGTGACAAATGGAGCCTGTAAGGAGCTCAAAAACACCAGTGACCCCCAGCATGGGGAGGGGGTCACAGCAAGGGAAGGAAACCTGAGCTCCCCTTTGTAGGGATCCCCAGTCCTGGTGCCCAGCAATCCTTTGTCAATTTGGGGACAGACATCCAGCCCACACAGATGCTCAGGGTGCTGTGGTGGGTGCAGCACCCTGGGCTCTGCGGGGGGAACCCCATCAGCTCCCAGAAAGTCAGCTCCTGGCTCACCTGGTTGGCTTTTTCAAGGTTGGTCATGATCATGGCGACTTCGTCTGCCCTGCAAGGAGAAAGCAAGAGGTGTCAGCGGGTGCAGAGGCACAGACACAGCCCAGGGCCTGGGCAGAAGTTTAGGGATAAGGACGCCACAACTGTGGATGTTCCTGCAGTGGTTTAAAGTATCTCAGCTCCTCAAGCCATTTAGCAGCACCACGGGAAAGTCCCAGTGCTGCCACGGGCATCTTGGATCAGCCTTGGACATGGACCTGGCACCGCTGGCAACTTACTTGGATGCTGCTTCCTCGTCGTATTTACACCGCAGCTCCAGCAGCTCCGTCTGCGTGGCCTTCAGCGCTGGGAAGAGGAAGAGGAGGGTGAGTTGTAGGGCGGGGGCTTGGCCCCCTGTGGTCACTAGTCCCAATCCTGGCCCCCCTACCTGCGTGGAGCACTTTGATCTTCTCCTCTGCCTCCCCCAGCCGAGAGGCCAAAGTGACCTGTCCTTCCCGGAGCCCCCTGTGAGAGATGGGCATGAGGGATGTGCTGGGGGCACCACAGCTGTGCCAACCCCACACCCCCCAAAATCACACAGAGACCCCTCACTGCATCTCCTCACTGACCCCATCCCTCACTGAAGCCAGAGAAGACCCATCACTGGACACCAAGACACATTCAAGTCGTGTTATCCTTTGATGTTAAGAAGTTTATTGCCCCAGGTCTAAAAAAAATTCAGTTTGGGCTGAAAATTGTCCCTGATCCCTGTGGCTGAAACCCCTCAGAGGGGGGAATGACAGCCCACCCCTCACCTGTAATTAACTGGAGGAGGGGGAAGCAATCAGGGAAAGTTATTCTGCATTATTTATAGCCTGCACTTGCCAGGAACTTACTCGCAGAGATCTGTAATTTAGGGTTTAAAGATTCCTCATTTGTTTCCCGACGCAGCGTGTTAAGGAATAACAATGAAGGCACCGAGAAAGCTGGGAGCCTCCAAATTAAAAGGTCATTTAATGAGGTTCATCCAGAGACCTGGGTTTAAGCCATTTGTCTGAGCAAAGCCACGTGTCACGGAGATAGCACACAGGGATGGCAGGAGGGACCTGCCCTGGCTCTGCCCCAAAACCACCTGGGACTGGGGATGGATGGTCAGACACTGAGAGTCCAAGGTGGTGTATCAGGTTTCTGGGAAGGATGTGACCACTCCCAACCTGAAGGGAAAGGAGCAAAGGGAAGGAGAGACAGACAGATGGACATCCCTGTGCAGGAGCAGGGACAGATCTCCATGTTCCCATCGTGCCCTGAAACGACCCCATTCCCAGTACTCACGTACTTTTGCTTCTCTGCCTCATTTCTCTGCACTGAGGTCTCTGTGCTTGGTGCTCTGCTGTCGAGGCCGTCAGCTGCCGGCGATGTCCCCTCCCTGCGCTCTGCGGGGGGACACATGTCACATGGCTGCGGAGGGGACAGCAGCGGGTGGCCGCTGGGGACCACAGGCCAGGGGCCAGATCCTGGCCCCAGGACCCACCCTGCATCCCAGGGGTGCTCAGAGGCACGTGGGGGAGCCCAGCTGGGGACCACAGCGGTACCTTTGGTGCTGCCGAGCTCCGTGTGCTTTTTCCAGGGGCGGCTGAGATCCTTCAGGGGAGGCGGGTTGGGCTCGAGGCGCTGGAGCTGCTGCAGCCGGTCCTCCAGGCTCCGGGCAGCCTCCAGCACAGGAGCGGGGTCTGTGGGATGTGGGATGCAGGGTGAGCAGCAGGGATGCCCACCACCAGCCCGGGTACCCACTGCCCACCCTCCTTATCACCCAGCCCTGGGCAGCCACTCTCCACACCCCGCTTAAAACAACCCGCAGCGTGCCAGGTGCCGTGGGAACATCCCTGCGTCCTGTCTTTCCAAGTGCCACAGGGATACACTGAGTCCTGCCTTTCCAGGTGCCATGGGGATACCCCTGGGTCCTGCCATTCCAGATACCATTGGGATACCCCTTGGTCCTGCCTTTCCAGCTGCCTTGGGCACACCCCTGGGTCCTGCCATTCCAGGGCCATGGGCACACCCCTGGCTCCTGCCATTCATTGCCAGCCCCGAGGCACCGAAGGACAGGCAGGGGCCATGGGGACATCTCCCGTGCCCCGGTGCCGCCAGCACGGCCGGTTTGGGCACAGACAATGGCGGTTTGTGCCGAGGTAAGCAGGTGCATTCGGAGCCGTCCGTCTTCCCTCTGTCAGCATTACACCATCATTAGCTGGTGTCTGCTCAGCGGGGTGTGCCATTATGTCTCCCAGGGCTGATGTAATTATACATTGACATAATTAACCCAGCAAGCCCATTAAGCAGGCCAGCTAAAAATTCATCTATAATTATTTGTTGTGTGCATGCTAATGAGTCCATCTGCACTGCCATTGTACAACATGAACAAATTAATTTACAAGTCTGGATTTTTTAATAAGTTCAAGAAAATGCCTCCTATTGAGCCAGGTTAATATAGGTTTGGGGTTTGGGATTGTTGGGTGGGTTTTTTTTGAAGAAAAGAAGAGGAAAGAAAATAGATTTGAATTCTCCAGGGTCAAAAAGTTAGACAAACAGGCAAGTGGGATGGAGTTGGGTGCGCTACTATACAGCACGGACACATGGCAGGCATCCAAGGGTAAAAGATAATAACTGTGATAGAAAAAAAATCCAACCCCTGGCTTTCTCCACTTGAAACAGCCCTGCTGCTCAGCAAATCCCTGGCTGAGATGGATGTGTTGTGGGATAAAGGGCCTGGTACTACCAAGGGCATGCTATGGGATTCAGGGTGTCAGCTGCCACACCAGGTGACTTCGAGGTGACCCTGCCCCAAAGACACCCAGTATGGATGGATGTTCCTTGGAAATGAGTGATTTGGAGACATGTTCCCCCCAAATGGGGTTTGGGGGTCTCTCTGACCCACTGCTGCCCTCCCACCCCAGAGCACCTCACCACAGCACCCAGCATGTGGTTTCCCCACAGGACCAGCGACTGCCAGACCCCACATGTTAATGCCAAAAGCCCCTGGAGAATCCTTCTCCACAGAGAATGTTCTCCCTTCTTTCTGCTGGGCATCATAGAGACTCCATGGATGGATGGAATAAGAGGTTTGTGCCCAGATTCTGGGGTCCAGAGGCAAATGCTGAAATTTGGCACTGAAATAGGGACTGAGCTCCAGGTGGGACTCTCCTGGGATGCTCATGGCATCCTTTGGCTCGTGGCATTCCTCAGCTCAGCATCCCACAGGCTGGTTTCCCACCCAAGGATGCACGACCACACCATCAAAGGGGATTGTGGTGATGTGGCACAGCCCAAACCACACTAGATGCTCCCAGAGCCATTAATAACACCTGTAAGCACCCGAGCAGAGATAACGATACAGGTAATTAAACCCTGGGGGTTTAATTAATTAATTAATTAAACCAGGGGCTGCAGGGGCTGGGGGTCCCCCCCACGCTCCCCAGCCCTGGGGGTGTTGGCAGGAGGCTCAGTGCCAGCCTGCAGTTGCCTCCATGGGGATAAACCCCAGGGCAGGCCCCGCTGGATCCGCACCCACAACTCCTCTCATCTCCAAGCCGGGGTGACCCCCCCTGTGCTGCTCCCCATTTGGAGCCGACATTCCAGGATGAAGTGGTGGGGAGCGGAGCTTTGGGAATGGAAAAGAGCAAGTGGTGCTTTGGCTCCACTTCCTGCATCAGCCAGGGACAGCGTGGGTACAAAATGCCCGGCTGGATTAATTACACTGTGCTAATGCCATGCTGCCCATCCACTGGGAAACGCTGCCCTCGGCTGTGGGGTTGGCTCTGAGACCATGTGAGATACTGGGGTGCACCACAAGGGTGCTGGGACTGAGTACCAAACCCATGCCATGCTCATGCCAAGCTCATGCCATGCTCATGCCAAGCTCATGCCAAGCTCATGCCTTGCTCGTGCTGCCAGTGAACAAACCCTCCTGCTGCAGGGCTGGAGAGAGGACACACTGAAAACCAAGCACATCATCTGCCATGGGTGCCATGTGCTTCCATCACACTCTGAGCCACACAGGAGATCAGGACACTGCCCACGGCACAGGGGACAGTTCCTTCCTCCATGGATCACATCTCCCATTGGGACAGGTTAGACCTGACACTGCTGCAGTGGTGACTCACTGCTGGCAGAGATGGGTAATGGGTGACATGGGAGACACTTCTGCCAAAACAGGACCTTGGGGCACCACACGCTCCAGGTCCACAGTGTGGCATCACCCACCAATGGCACAGTCAGCTTTGTGGGAAGCAGCGTGGCCCTGCCCAGCACACTTATCTATTGCTCCATACCTTCACCCACTATATATATGTATCTTTTTAAATATATATATAAAACAATAAATAAGTAATAAATATATATATATAAAAATAAGTGCTGCCACTAGCTGGCGTCATTGGCCATCCTTTAGCGGCACTGGCAGTGCTGCAGCAGGATCACAGAATCACAGAATATCCTGAGTTGGAATGCACCACAAGGATCATCCAGTCCAACTCCTGGCCCTGCCCAGGACACCCCAACAATCCCACCCTGTCCCTGAGAGCGTTGTCCAAACGCTCCTGGAGCTCTGGCAGCCTTTGGGCCGTGATCATTCCCTGGGGAGCCTGTTCAGTGCCCCACCACCGTCTGGGGGAAGAACCTTTTCCTGAGATCCAACCTAAACCACCCCTGACACAGCTCCAGACTGTTCCCTGGGTCCTGTGACTGCTCACAGAGAGCAGAGATCAGTGCCTGCTCCTCCACTGCCCCTGGTGAGGAAGCTGTGGTTTGGGATGAGGTCTCCCCTCAGTCTCCTCTTCTCTAGCTGAACAAACCAAGTGCCCTCAGCTGCTCCTCATGTGGCTTCTCCTTCAGATCCCTCCCCATCTCCATGGCCCTCCTTTGGATGCTCACTAACAGCGACAGGCCTGGACAGAGGTCCCCTCTGCTGTCCCCATGGGGAGTGGGGTTAGGGATCTTTCCCTGAGCTGGAAGGGGTCTCTCTGTGGGCACTGGAGCAGCTTGAGGCACCTGTGTGATGGCAGGATGAGCCAGGAGGAGTTCTGGGTTCTCATCACCTTCTCTGAGCAGGCACAGCTCCAGGGAGCATCTGTATCCCAGGGGACCACCAGCTCATCCCTGTGCCCCGGCTACTTGACCCAGCCTTAGGTGGAGGTCTCCATGTGGAGGCTGAAGAGTGACATCTGCTCCAAGCTGCTGCCTGGCTCTAAGAGGAACACAGGGCACCCATGGTGTATCCACGGTACCTCCCACCAGGGCAGCATCTCTTCCGCCACCCCATCCTAACCTGCTCAAACACATCCACCAGCGCCCTGCAAATCCCTCCACGAGTCAAAGTCAGCCTTAAATCAAATCATCCCCAACAACAATGACATTAATTATGCTTTTAACACATTTTACTGCTTCCCCCCCCTTCCCTTCACGCCACATCTGTGTGAACAATATCCAAAAGATTTACGGTTTTCTCCCGTAATTACAGACACACAGCCAGCTCACTTATCAAAATACTTGCTGAGCAATCAGGCTCTGTTACAGTCTCTGCCAGAGATTTGTGTTGACAGCAGCCATTCAAAGCAAAAAATGTCGAATCAGGACTTATGTGGCGCTTGGAAAGTGTTCCACAAAGAGTTCGCCTGTCAAGAGACACGCGGACACGGAACAGACAGGGATGAACCACGGGTGGGAGGATTTGGGGAGCAGGAGGGGAGCAAGAGATGCTGCTGTGGAGAACAGAGAGAGGAGAAGAGGAGGAGTCCAGAGTCCACAGGGAAGCAGTTTTGGGGTGTGCGTGTGTGTGCATCCGTGTGCAGACGTGTGCGAGCAAGAGGAGCGCAGCGGGAGAGCACGGGGAGGTGGGGAGGGAAGATAACTGGGTTCTGGAAACCGAGCTGACATTTGGTTCTTGTAGCACAGGAGAAAATTTAATGAGGACAAAAATATGTCTCCCTAATTCCCCTAAGAAATCATTAAAACATTTTGTTATTCCTAAATGTCTGGAAAATGAATTAGTGGCCCTGCAGGAGCCTTTTCCGTGCATCTTCAGCCGTTTGCAGCTCTCTGTCCCCGCCATGCCGGGGGACGCTCCATGCCTGGCACAAACAAACCCACACAAAGTGGGGAGCAGCAGGAGGGGGGTCCGAGCCCCTCACTGGTCCCTGGTACCAGCTCTGCCAACACAAACCTCAGGGCTGCCCCATGCCTCAGTTTCCCCCTCCCAAGACTTCAAGCAATGAGTTCAAGGGTGTCCCCGTGGCTCGTGCTGGTGCTTGGGTTAACTTACCATCAAAAAGACAACTGGGAATAGCCGCAGTGTTACTACACGGGCTGAGCAAATGTATTCCTTTCCTAATGTCAAGATGCATTTGGCTCAGGGGCTGAAACACAGCGATGGCAAAAGCTGCTTCCTCTCCTCTCTTCGGCTGGTATCTCCAGAGCACCATGCGCCGGCCACGCCGGGGATGGGTGCCGCGGTCCTCGCTGGCTCCTCTCGGCACCGGCGCCGGCGCGCGACTCGTTAGGCAGCCAGGTCGCCACCGCACTGCTTACCTGGAGCTTCCAGCAACTGCTTGTAAACGCTCAGGAAAGCCGTCTCAGCCTCCTTGCTTCTCTTACTAAGTGCAATCACCTGCAGGGAGACGGATAAACGGGTCAGGGATGGGCTTGGAGGAAGGAACCAGCTCTACCACCAGCACCGGCACACGGGTCCCCCCACCCAGCACAGCTCCGTGTCCCCTCCGTGCCCTGCGCAGACACTCGCTGCCTTTGGCTAAACTCCTCATGCCGCTGCCATGTCACGTCGCCCTAAATCATTGATGTGCTCTGAGTAAATGAAAATTATAATTTAATGTCGGTGCTTAAATAAGAAATAAAGAAGCCTGGCCGTTGTTGTGCTTGCCGGGCTGGATCCGGCACATGGCCCTCCCCAGCCACCCTCCCGGTATGGTGCTGTGGGTACAAGTGATGCTCACACTGGGACTGGGATATCTCCTCCTGCTCCTGCCCCTGTCCCCTCTCGGCTGTTGGGGTGCTGGTGACACTCACACCAGCCAGGTGGCAGGAGGATGGCACAGCACAGCCCTAATAACCCAACAACATATTAATCTGCTGCGTGTTCCCATCCAACATTTATGAGCATGAATCATTTACTCCCTTTAATTTTTCAAGGCACAATGACACCTTGGGGCAGGGGCTGCTGCCCACTGGGTCCCCTTGTTACCCCTCCCATCCAGGATGGGGCACCAGTAGGATGTACAGACCTCTGTGTCCCTGCTGCCTGGGCACAGGCATCGGGGATGGAGGCGACCCATTCCCAGATGGAAAATGTCCAGTTGGTGCCAAACTGGGTGGAGGAAAAGGTGCCCACCCAGCAGACATGACAGTGGAATAGTCAATTAAACCGCTCTTAGGCCGCTGATGGGCTAATTATAAAACGAAGCCTGAACTTCGTGCCTCGGCCCAGTGGCAGCTCCCACATCGGAGCATGTTTTCCCTCCTCCATGCCAGTGGAGCTCCCGGCTCGCCCCGCCAACCTGGACTGCCATTGCTTGTCATTCCAACCCAAAGCAAACGGCTCATTTGTAATCCAGCAGCCACCTGAGCAAACCGCTTTCTCCTCCCGAGCTCGCAGGCACTGGAGCACAAAGATCATTTTTCTATTGTTAAAATTGTATAAGCCGGGCTTTTTATAGCGGCTCGTACACAAACCTACTTTCTCAGCGCTGCGTATCCAGCAGAGGAGGAATTTGGGAGCTTTTCTCCGGTGATCTGCAAAAATGCTTGGCTTCAGGGTGCTTTAAAATAATAATAATAAAGTGGGAAAGGGAGGAGGAAGGCAGAGAGGAGCCGGTGGGAAGCACAGCCTGTGTGGTGTAGCAGGACAGCTTTGTGCCACCGGATTTGCCAGTGGCACGTGGCATCCACCCACAGGGAGCCCTGATGGGGGTGCTGTAAGGATGTGGTGCTTATGGCATCAGTCCTGTGTGACCCACACTTCCCAAATCCTTTGGACTTTACAAGGGAGTGGCATAGCCCACGGGCACAGCTCTGCTGTGGGCTGATGGGGATGCCTGGACCTGCCCAAGCTGCTCTGAATAGCTTCATCTCCCCTGAGATAGTGCCAACCAAATAATGCAGAGCAAAGATCCAGCCCAAATGTTCCCTATTCCCTCTTCATCACCTATGCCTGCTCCCTGTGCATCCCTAACCCATGCCAGGGGTAAGGAGATGGCCCAAACTCCAAATCAAGCTGTTCCCAGTGAATTTCATTCCTCAAGTCACATCATAGAGACAAAGCACTTTTCAAGGGGAAACTTTGAAGCTTTTCCCTCTCCTCAGCAATCCTGGCTGAGATCCAAGCATCCCTCACTAGGAATGTTGTGGTTCTGCAGTGGGAAGGAGCCTGCAGCATCCCCACGCCGTGGTCCCCTGGACCTGGTCTCCCCATGGCCACACCCCAGAGGCTCGCTGGAGATGGATCCAGTTTCCTCCTGGTTCACGAGAGGGGTCAACCCACCATTCAGCCCAAATTCCTACGGAGCACCCACAGACCCATTAACTACCATCCGTATCTTAACTGGAGCCCAGGACCCTTTCTGATGAGGAGGCACTTGGGGGCCATTCCATCAGACAAGGAATTTGGGGACCATTTTACCAGCCCAGCTCCTGCCCCATCCCCCTGCCCTGGGCTCCAGCTCACGCTGGCACATTCCAGCCCATGTTGGTGCCAGGGCATCACCAGTGTGGGCAACCAGCAGGATGGCAAGCCAGGCACCCACATGGTTCTTCCAGAGTCCCACTAAACTTCAAGAACATGTCAGTAAAAAAGATATGTAACATTTTCAGCAATCTTTTCTAGATGGGGATAATTTACTCAAATGCCATGGGAGATTCCTGCCAGAGCAGCTCCAAGCCCCCACACAGGGATAGCTCACCCCAACTCTGAAACTGCTGTTATTTCTAAACACCTGGGAAAAGCCCATATCAGTCCTAAAATCAAGGTTTGTAATTAAAAACCCTAAATCCCTGCTTTGTCAAGAAGCAGGGAGCAAACCCCACGCCCGCATCCAACAGGGAGACACCACCAGCGCCCTGCTAAATAGAGGAGAAAATGGAAAAAATTAGAGGAGTTGAGCATCTCTGGAAGCAGCCCTTGCTCTGTGGGGTCAGGATGGCACCATCCCTGTTCCCCAAATCCCCACGATGCAAATGCATCACATTCTCCCTCTGCCCACAGAGGCGCCGGCAGCGAGCTCTGCCTCCGCATCACATATCGATGGACTCTTAATTCCCATTTTTCCCCCCTCTGTCTCCCTCCGCAGCGTCCGCAGGCTCAAGGTGAGGCCCGGCAGCATCGCGGGATCGCCGCCGCCTGATAAATTACATTTACGCGCCAGGTCCTTTTCATGGCTGGTGACTTTCCAGCAAAGCAATTATCACTGCAGAATGCGTAATAGCCTAATTAATTACTATTGTCAGGCTGGCCTCTGTGCCATGATTATACCTTCCGAAGCCAACTTTTTAAACATTTGGAAGCAGAAATATTATTATAATTGAGTGACAAAATGGTAAAACTCCCCCGGCGCAGCCGGTGCTCCTCCCGGTGCGGCGGCGAGGACCGACCGTCTGAGCGTCCCCGCTCCAAAGGCGCGGGATTTGCATCGCACCGGCGGTGAGTTTATTCTTATATCCACGAGATCAAGTGCAGGATAAGTAGTGGGTTATTTCCATCTAAATACTGGTGGCAGTAAACCACAAATGAGCTCTTTTTCAGCGTAGAGGAACAGCTGTCGGGGGAGAAAGCAGCAGCAGAGACCCCAAATGTTGAAGAAAACTGATGAAAAAATTAATTCAAGCCTTCGCTATTTTCTTCCCTTTTTTTTTTTTTTTTTTTTTGCTGATGTGTAAAGAAGTCGGGGAGAGCGGGAGGGTGGCAAGGGAGGGGGGACTGGGAAGGAGCTGCTGTCCCGGGAGAGGTGATTGGGTTGGACAATCCATGTGTTGGGGTCCTTTGGTGCCTAAAGTGCTTTGTGTTCAACTGACACCTTAAGTCCATCATGTGTGTGCACAGACTCATTGTGCACCCACAAACCCATCATGCACCCACAGACCCTCTGTGCACCCACAAACCCATCACACACACCCACAGACCCACTGTGCACCCACAGACCCACTGTGCATCCACAGATCCACTGGGCACCCACAGACCCATCACACACCCCCACAGACGCCCTATGCACCCACAGACCCATCGTGCACCCACAAAACCATCATGCACCCACAGACCCATCACACCCACCCACAGACCCACCGCGTACCCACAGATCCAGCACACACACGCACACACACACACAAACCCATTGCAGACACCCACAAACCCACCACACAAACCCACCACACTCATACAGACCCCTTGCACACCCACACAAACACATTGTACACACGCTCACAGGCCCAACACACACGTGCAAACCCACTGCACACACGTACAGACCTCACTGCACATCCACAGACCCATCGTGCCCCCATGCACAAGCTCACTGCACACACAAACCCATCACATGCACAAAAACATCACAGGCACCCACAGACACATCACACACTCGTTGCACACGTACAAATCCACTGCACACTCACACAGACCCCTCACATGTGCACAAACCCACCACACACATGCACAGATCCGCTGCACACCTACACAAATCCACCACACACAGTCACTGACCATCACACATGGTCACAGAACAATCACACCCACACAAGCCCACTGAACACCCACAGAGACCCAACACACACCCACAAACCCACTGCACACTCATCATAGACACTCACAAACCCCTTGCACACCCACACAGACCCATCACACATGGTCAAACCCATCACACACAGTCACAGACCCACTGCACCCTCACACAGACCCACTGCACATGGACACAGACCCATTGCACCCACACAGATCCATCACACACCTGTACAAACCTATTGCACACCCACACAGATGCATCACACGTCCACACAGACCCTTCATACATGACCAAACCCATCACACACACCCACGGACCCATTGCACACCCACTGCACACCCAAACAGACCCACTGCACACACACAGAACCATCACACACGGCCAAACCCATCCCACACATGCACAGACCCACTGCACACCCACACAGACCCATCCCACACACCACAGACCCATTGCACACCCACTGCACACCCACACAGACCCATCCCACACACCACAGACCCACTGCACACCCGTTCCACACCCACACAGACCCATCCCACATGGTCAAAGCCACCACACACACCCACACAGACCCACTGCACCCCCTGCTTCCACAGCCCCTTCCCCACTCTTCCAAAGGCAGGAGCAGCTCCCAGTGTTTTCACAAGGCCAAAAAGCAATGCATGCCAGAAAGATCAATAATATAAAAATAAAGCCTGAGAATTCTAGTTAAAGGGAACATCACAGAAATATGTTGTTCACGTCCATGATTTGGAGATTAAAAAAAAAAAAAAAGAAGAAGGGAAAAAAAAAATAATCAATATAAGTTCTTCAGATGATGTTATTTCTAATGAGAAATACACTGAGACTGCTGCAAACAACTGCTTAAAAGAAAAAAAAAGCA